TTTATTTTTTATTTTGTATTATTCAGTGGGTTCACGTGCGTATAGTTTATAAAAATAACGATCATACGAGTATAATTTATATGGTAACAGATGACAGTGATATGAAAGACCAGTACTGTACATAAATCATATATGATTACCCAAGCCCACGTGTCGAGTGACTCGAGAGCGAAACAGCTTTAATAGCACCCAGTCGTACAGGTGAGAACAAAAAATGCCCGCTTCGATTGCCCAATATCTCTCTCTCTCCCTGCTTTGCTTTCGAACTAACGCGTTGCACGCGAAATTGATAACACCTTTGTGTATGCATGTATAGAAAACAAGTATAGGTACATATCATACGGCATAATCAAAGCTCGCGTCGAGAGCGAGAGTCGTTGAGTTACGCAACGATGCAAGGTATACGTTATTCACACGCGTGTCTCGTATGCAATAGCTATAACTGGCCGGGGACACCTTAAATCGCATACGAGTGGTACACCAAGTGTATATAATAGTGATACGACCCCACACGTGTACCCGATAATATTGCGAGAATTTATAGTATTATAAGCGCTCGTAAGTTGTTTTACAATAACACACATCGATTCGTTAACAAAATCATTTCACCAGTTGTACAAGATTTTTCATCATTTTTTTTCTCAAATTATTGTCACACTGCGAAAAGGATGTTAGAGTCAAGTGCCAAATTGCTCTGTTCTATTTTGCAATGTAAACCTTGTTACCTGTAATACCAAATAATATATGATAGTCGCATTGTGATAACTCGTACATAGTAAACCCCAGAAATGTATCCAAATGCTGTGTTTGCGCACTATTGATCCATATATGTGTACATATACATATACATATATATGTATTGTACAAGCTCACCCTAATTTGCCAAGTAATCATATAGGTATTTAATATTTATCGGCGATTTTGTCGAAGGAGAAAATCCAAGCTGACTTCGTATGTCACGCAAACTATGATGCTTGCATGCAGATTTCATCTGTCACGTTGTTATTTTTATTATTATTTCTTTTTAAATCCAACAGAAAATCACAATCGACGTAGATATATACCGTGCATTGGCGTATGATAAATAAATCGTACCAAGGGTGGAGTGTTGTGTTGCGCACAGGCAAGGACTATCTATCTACGTATTTAACTAGCTTTAAACCGCTTTAAACTCAAAACGGAAGCTGCAGGCAGTTGTGGATGCGCTTTATCGCGTGACGTTCACACGAGTAAATATATACGTATATATAGTTCATCAGATCTACTGATATACCATATTTCGCTCTCTGAATGCACCGAGCTGACGGTTAGATGTACGTAGTATGTATTTTTTTTTTTTCTCTCTTATTTTTGTTTTTGTTTAAAACGTCAAACAGTTTTGCCATCGTTTGTGCTGCTGCGTCGTTTGATGTCAAATTCAATGGAGCGATTAAACTGCGAAACGTAGGATGGTTGCAATAATATATTCAAGTGTTTACATTCGCTGGGTGGTTATTGCGCTTTATTTTGACGGTACGTACTTATTTACATTGTATAGCTATAATTCATATTACAAAATACGAATAAAATATACACGTTATTGTAATTTTAGTGTATCACGGTGTATTTCGTAATGCGAGATGTGCTGTCAGTGCTGCATAGATGCAGAACGACAAACCGGGAGTCCCTCCGAACCATCGCAATAACAAGCGTGCCTTTGACTTATGTTAATTACACACGAGGATACAGTATGATAGATAGACACGAATGTAGTCTCGCGGGTATGGAGTGCGTGTGGTTAAAGGACCATCCCTCTTTTTCTCTGTCCATCGGTGTGCACGAGCTCAAAGAGCTGGGCTGGATGATAATCATACAGAGAAAATACTCTCGAGTTGTCATCGACGAGCCTCCAGTTGTAATCGTTTGGCTATATATACTCGTCGAAGCGGGCTCGCTCTTATTTTCCTCTCTTCCTTTTTGTCCGCTCGACCGCACTTCATCATCGATGAATCTTTCGTCATGTATATTTTCATCGGCTCCGTTTTATCGCTCGATCAACCAATATCCAGGAGAGCACACGCGCGATTACGTAAGGCATATGCACACCGCTTTGTTTGTTCATCGGCGATATTGAATTTTTTTTTTTTTTTTTTTTTTTTCGCGATTCGCTGTGGAGCTTTTACTCCGTTGCGATCACGCGCGCGCTGCATCCAAACCGAGAGCGAAACAAAGGGGCGGGGAGAACACGCGATGATTCGCTTGATTATCCGTCAAAAAGCCACGCGAACCGCGGACAAAGTGGCGAGAAAGTTCTGCCGGCGTTGGATTTCTCGTTTCTTTCTTGGCGCGAGCGCAGGACCTGTTGAAGCGAGTACCCCCGCGAACGAGGACGGACACAATGGAGCAGGTTTTCGAACTTTGGAGTTCTCGGGATTTCTTAATAAATCAACTTGTTCTTTGACGAGTGGAGGGAGGTGAAGGAAAAAGGGGGGAGGGGAAACAAGTGAGCGTCGAAAAGTACACCGAGATTTTTCCAATAGAAAAAAAAGGGGGGCAAGGATGGGAGGAGAGAAAGGCCGATTGGTGCGCTCGAATTCTTCCCAAGCCTTTGTCCCTCTTGTATTCTTTCTCCCGCTCTTGACGGACTCGCGGAAAAGTTAAGCTTTTCACTTTTCAACTATAATTACTCGGCTCGTCGTGCGCGAGCGGGGGACGCCCGTGCAATCGCGGATATTACACATTACTTTATCATAACTTCACTTTTACGTGGTTTTTTTTTTTTTCTTTCTTCTTACTCCTACTGAAACAAGCAATGTATAATATCATACAAATATGTTAATGACGAGCGCTTCAAACTCGAAGGAAAAAATTTCTCTGTTTGGATTAAAAAATTTAAATTACGTTTGTACTATCGTTGAAAATAAGCTCTTGCTGATTCTCAAGCAAAGGGGGAGGAAAATTGTAGTACCTACTCTGATTCCGAGGGCAAAGAAACGATTCCCGTTTTGAGTTTTGCATTTTTGCTATGAATCTTTGTTTCGTATATTTTGTTTATCTTTCATATATATTTGAAAAACAAGAGATAACTCTACTTTATGGAAAAAAGGATAGAATGCGCAAGTGTACATGTACGTCTGCAATAAATAGAAATAAAAGATGGCACCCATCAGACTATAACAAGAAGGGTACTGTGAATTAGAACAATTTACATCATAGGTAAGTACGCATAAAAAATCAACTACGGATGCCCGTACGGTAAATAATATAATCACTGTCACTGCAAATTCCAGTATAGAGCTCACACTTGTTCGTCGTCCATTGGGTTTAATTCACAAGAAGTCGTGTAATTATACCTGTTTTTTTTTTTTTCGGACGCAAAGAAATTTTCAGCTGCAATGACGAATGTGCAGTATCCCGTTAACGATTACAACTTTTTTTTCGGTACACCAACGAAATCACAAATATGCATCGTTAGGCAAATTTATCGGGTTATTGGTCAAAGTAATGATGATTCACAGCGCGTAATCTCCGTGAAAACATGTTATGCGCGATACTTTATTTCCCCCCCGCGCTCTCCGTTGCTCACGTATATAAATGCACACCATGCTTGTGCACGTGTGCGCGTGGATCGTACACAAAAGGCTAATTCCGTAATTCGTGTGTGAGCGCTTGTGCAATGAGCACAAATCAGTGACATAATTTGATTGTACAGTGGCGCGCAGTGCGATTTATACACGCGCTGGTGCGAGGCCGAAAAATTATCGCTGCCGAAAATCGCCAATAAGTGCTCGGGTTATACACACACGTACACGTGAAACGAAGAGATAATGAACAAAAAGTGCGACGCATTACAACGTCTCTTGGGTGATGATGACCGATGACCGAGGTTCGACGAGTGCACTGTCTCACGTGCATCGCGTGTATAAACTGATTTTTATCGAGAACGTGACCAGACAGAGATTATTAAATAAAAAACGATCACGTGCAATAGCTGTTTTTAACGATTATATGGATATGGGAAATAACAATTGAGAAGGAGTGAGACTACAATAATAAATTTGCGCGTTGGAAAATAGTCCCGTCGTCGCTTGCATCGTATATTTCATACATATACATATACTTGTTCGTCTCACCGACGGTACGTTGTATACGATCGATTACGGGATCACAATAAATTAATATCAGTGATTTAAAATGAAAGGTTTTATTTTAAGACAACCATTCGTTGGAATAATAATGACAATAATGGTAATGATAGATAGCTTTTATCGAAATACCCTTGTTTCATTCAACTCACTTATTATTTTATATACGTTTTATTTTACCTATTACGTATACACAACTACTTGAAATGCCATTGGTAAAGTTTCTTTGGAAGTGTTTTTATTTTTTGCCAACAATGAAAAAATGTTTTTCAAGTATTTATAAAAAATGTCGTTGGCTACTAGGAAATATGCTATTTCTTCTTTTAATTAAAATTATTTGTACACTAGTCTATACATTATCAATCGATTCACAGCTGGTTAAGACACATATTGAAAGATCAGATGGATCAACGTTTTAAGCACAATATTATTGCATGATAAACATACATGTATAAAGAATGGGTATTGTTAAACACAAACATACAATAGATACGGAAAATAGAGAAATCCGGACGTTTGAAAAGCATAGAATAAAATTGTAAGAGTAGTGGAAAAAAACATTTTTCAAACAACGCAAACATTTTCACGCAAACGAGCGACCAGCTCGATCTGTTATTGATAAACGTTCGTCGCGCAATCGATGCTGTTGCGAGCTATCGTTTTACAATAGTTGCCTCTCGACAAGACCAAATATTATTCAATAACGACAGCTCAAAGTAGCACTCGTCATTTCACTTAACAGGACAAAGTATAAGAAAAAAAAAAAAAAAGCTATATACACTATGGATAAGTATAACGAAAAAAAAAGGATCCTTATATCATGTACACTTGAAAAATTGATCGAGTCTTTTTCACATAAGAAAACAAGAAGAAAAATCACAACTCCGTAGTAGCGACGCCCCAGTACTGCTGCATCCTCGAGGCGTCCTGCTCGAGGGAGTCGAGGGCCCCGCGCTCCTGAATAACGGCAAAGTCGTACTCGAGATTGTAGGGCATGAGCCTCTGCAAACTTCCAAAGTACGCGGCGTTCGGCCCGCCGTTCAATAATCTCCGAGCGCTGCCTCCGAAAGCCGAGCGGATGACCGGCACCGGCTGCACCAGGGGCTGCTGATAACCCGCTCCGGATGTGGTCTCGAAGGATCGAGCGCTGCCAAATCGCCGAGACAGGAAGGGCACGCCCGTGCTCGAGCCCAGCTGCGGCGTCGACCTCGACTGCCCTGTTTGTAAATTTAGGATGTTAAAAAAAAAAAAAAAATAAATCAAAGGATGAGATAAGCACGTCACGGGGAATATCGACACATTACCCATCGGTGCATGCAAAATCAAAAGCAAATGCTCGTCGGAGTCGTGTATTTCGTTTGCACGGTGATCGATCGAATTTCTCTCAAGCACTTTGTAATCTCTCCAATTACAGCCACGAAAAGAAATCCCGATCAAAGTTTCTACGCGATATCGCGTCACGAATTAACAAGAGGGAGATTCGGAAAAAGCTTTTAAATGTGAAATAGTAACGAAGCTTAATGTACACGCTTGATCGAATATTTATTAAAACTTCCATTATCATCGCGTCAATAATTGAGCATCCACGTGCTAAAAGCCTTATCGCGTGCATACACGATGATTACGATAATATTCGGACTGGCTATATGTATATTCCTGACTGCTTGTTTATCGATGTATAAGTTATGCAAGTCATGTCCCCAAACCAGAATGTTTTTGTTTTGTTTTTCCCCCCGTACGAGAGCAAAAACTCCTTTACCACCTCGTCGCAGGGCGGTGCTCCTGCTGGTGCTGCTGGGCGCGCTCGTGAGGGTGTCCAGTTCTTTGTCGAAGAGCAGCTGGGTGTTTTGCTCGAGCATGTACTCCCAGCAGCGCAGTTGCTCATCGCTAGGGGGCGGGGAGCGCTCGGACCCGGCGACGCTCCCTGCACCAGCCGAGCCCTGCAGCTGGCGAATCTTACCGGCGCTCGCGCTCCCCGAGCAGAAGCGCCCGCCGGTCCGGCCGGAGGTCCGTCGGCGCGAGCGCGGCTCGAACAGACCCACGTCGCTCGTCGTTTGGTCCGACTGGCCGCTCGGGGAGCTGCGGTCCTCCCGCTGGTGCGGGTTGCTGCCCACGCTCGACGCGTCCTTCGAAAGGCCCTGGCTGCTTTTGCTCGACTTTGCGCTCGATCTGCAAGTGTCGCCCAAACTTTTCGAACTTGGATCTTGTCAATTTTATTTTTTTTTTTTTTTTTTTTCTATCGAGTAGCGAGTTGGGGCAAAGTAGTGCCCATTTTCGCTAAACTTTGAGGTATGTGTGCAGCACGTCGATTGAAAATTAATATTTGGCTTCTCGTCGGTCGGCAGGAAACTTAATTTGCGTGCGACTTGGAAGAAACGAAAAAAAAAAAAAAAACATAAAAAATAAACTTAGCCGACAAAGGAGCGTCCTATATATACGAGAGTACACAAGCTCCAAGGTATAGAAATTTTAAATTACACGGTGTCAACATCACGGAATCACTTGCTCTTTGGGTCCTCAAAGAGGATGCAAACTCGACAGTATAGGTCAGCTGAATAATAAACGACACCATCCTCGATGAGGGACCCTTTGGGTGAGGGGGGCAGGGGTTGGAGAAAAAACGTAGACTCCTACCTCGCGCTGACGACGTTCCTCAGCACACCGTTGAGATAAAAGCCGTTGTTAGCACAGGCGGCCAGTCCGGCCTCGGCCTGCATGGCGGCAGCTGCGTGACAGCAGCACGGGACGGGTGCCTCGTGATTGGCCGACAGCCGGGGCGTGCAGCACGGACACGTGCAGCCCAACTGTTGGGTCGGCTGTGGCTGCTGGTGGTGCTCGACCTCGACCGACACGAGGGCCTGCTGCTTAAGGTGTTCCTTCGTGCTCTTCGAGTGCACGGCCTGGCGGAGCTCGCGCATCAGCAGCCGGTTGAGGGGCTCGGGAGCCAACGACGACGACGATGGGCTATTGTTGTTGTTGTTGTTGTTGCTCGCGTTGGCCATCGACAGGCGCAACACTATCACGCTGAGGTTGTCCTCGGCGCCGTAGGCTTGGCCGAGGTCCTGGAGACGCTTGGCCGCGAGCACGGGGTTCGCTTCCGCGCGCGCCTGGCGTACCGCTTCCTGGATACTGAGCACCTCCCACAGCCGACGATTGCCGATTATCACAAACTCGTCGTCCTCCTCGAGGACCACCTACGGGAGTGCATAGATCGTTATAGATGCTATCGTCCTTGAGAATAACAACTATACTTTTTTCCCTTTTATTTTAGAAAAAAAAAACAAGTGTATTTCCGGTGCAGTATCGATCGCGCTCCACACATGTGCAACCGGTCAGGCTATAATTTACTTAGCACGCGAGAACAGAATGACTAGGTGGCTTTTTTTCTCTTTTTTCCCTCCCACCCCCTCTGTTGTGCGGCCGATGTTTGTCCGAGGCGAAGGAATTCCACAATTTTCACGTGCTCGGTCACTTTTGCTTCGAGATTCGGGGCACGTTTTCCAATAGCAAGTTGTTCAAAAGGGGCTGGGGACGGCTATATTATTACCCATATACGCGAGAAGAAAAAAAAAGGCAGACAACTCCCTTGTTTCAAAAAACGCGGAAACTTTCGACCTCATTTTTTTTTTTTTTTTTTTACGACAAATTAAGACGTATAGCGGTGGATTATGAAGGATTGTGAATAAAAATTTTCCTCCGCGATATTTTTGGCGTTGGCCATATACCGAGAACGTTTTAAATGCACATAAATTTGGGGGAAAAGCGGGGAGAAAACACGTCAGTATCGCGCGCGCGTGCACATATTTTTTTGAAAAATTGCTCTTTGCGCTCGGTCGTTGACGTGACGGCGTTTATCACGGGTAAAACATCCACTCCAGCGGCATTGAGATAAGTGACGCTGATGTAATTAAAACTTCATTCGATCCTTTTTTTTATTTTTATTTTTTTCAACTTTTTTTGAAACAAATTGGGAGAAACTTTTCAAAAAGCTCAACTTTTTCTCTGGCTGTTGAATATTATATTGGACCACTGTGATCGATACACGGCACCAGAGAAAAGCTTCCACCGCCTCGAAACCGTCAAAGAGTTGAATAAAAAAAAAAGGGACCACAGCATTAGGAGTAAATATCGTACACGCACCTCCTCGCTGGTGGGCTCGGGCAGAGCAATCGGTAAGAGATCGTGGGTCGCGCTGTGGACCTTGCGTCCCTGAGCGAGGGCGGCCTGCAGCCTCGGCAGACCGACGAGCCTCGTGCTCTTGGCGAGCTGCAGCGGCCCCGAGGCTCGACACAGAACGGCCCTGGCCTCGCCGCAGGTAGCCGCCGTCAATAGGTACCTCGGACGGCCCCTGTCGCCACCGTCATCGTCATCCAGCAACTGTTCGGGTTCAAGCCTCGTCACGTGCACCAAGCCGGCGTCGATCCCGTACTTTTGCCCCTTTTCCCTCAGCTCGCGCTGCGCCGACAGCAAGGTGTAACGCAGGTACTCGCTACGCGTCTCCTTGACCGCGGACTCGTCCAACAGAAGCCGGGGGATCATCTCCTGGAGCGAGCTCGGGGCCTCTTGGCTCGAGCACCCGTCGAACAGCCCGAACAGGCACTCCGTGCCGCAGAACGCCGGCATGCGCAACTGGCTGATCAGCAGTCTGCGACATTTTTTAAATACACCTTTTACACTCTTTCGTGGTCATCCGTATACCGAGATTATATTTATCCATTCATAAATTAACATAAAAATGAATAGCCAAGGAAAAAAAAAGTGTTTTTTCTTGTGGCACTGACGCAAGAAAAAGAACCTATAAATCGAATGAAAAGCATCGGAAACGAGATCATCGATTCGAGTTGTATATGCAAAGGCCAGCTTTTGGTGTAAACGCTCGCAGTGCAAACTCAAAGGGTGACGTATTATATGATCCGAGATACATCAGGCGGCACCGTTTTCATTTTCAAAAATGATAAATCAAAAGCGCCCTTAGGTATATACATACGTACAACATTGTACCGGTTTTGGGTGAGCGCGCAACATGAAAATAAGCACGAATTTCAGCTCGATCCCTCTGGAAAAGTTTGCGGAACTTTATTCTCAGCGTGCAAGGGTAGATCATTTTAATTGCGAACGCCGCCCGGCAGCCGTTGCAGCTGCTGCATGGCTGTGTATGCGTGTTGTTATATGTATATAGGTATCTGTGCTCAAAAGCGAGCTGGCGATTCAATTAAGATCGAGTAATAAATTGAGCCCGGCTGTTTTATTAGCTATTGGGGAAAAAAATAAAATAGAATAAATGTAGCCTTGCCTTGAAATTTTATCAAGGGTACCTATAAGCTCGAATAAATATATATATACTATGTAACCTACTGATGACAATGAAAATAAGGTGGCAAACCTTTCACGGGCGCCGGTGGTCTCGGAAAACCCGAGTCGCCAGGGCAGGTGGTGGTTGAGCTCCACCGAGTCATTGCGAGCCGACGCTCCAGTCGATGGTGAGCTGTTGTTGCTGCTGGTTGCACTGGTCTCGGGCGTGCAAACGGTCGACTTGCTCTGGCCCGAGACGTCGACCAGGGAGACGGGCCGGCGAGTGCTGTGGTAGCTCTGGAACTGGCGCGGGTCCACGTGCAGCCGTGAGTTGCAGGATATGTCGAGGAACTGCAGCTGGGACGACAACAGGCTGTCGAGGTTCAGGTGCTCCAGGTGGTTGTGCGCCAGATCGAGGACCTGCGTGTTAAGGGGTTCTTTTTTTTTTCGCATCGATTCAAGTTAACAGGCGAGAGACCTTTCGTTTTCACTTTTTTTTCATTTTAATATCCATATAACTGTTGAATTCACGATTATTCAAAGTCAAAGTTTTACAAAGATCGACACGCGTGACAGCTTGGATGGGTATATCGAGTTTCGAACAAACGCCCGATTTCACGCGCGAAAATTCGATTGAATACCGATTTAACAGATCCGAAGCTTGAAAGTGGCTTCGCGGGTGTAGTGTTAATTGTTATTGAGTTCGCTCGAAAATCGTATTTCGAAATCAAAAAGCTACGCACTCGTCGGGCGTATCGTCACTTCATTGACAGCTGATGGATTTTTGAAGTACCAATTTACTTTTATTTTCAAAACGCGAGGTACAAAAAAAAAAAAAAAAAAAAAGTAACAAGCGATCCTTGGATTTTCTGTTAAAACCAACATGTAGGTGAGACAGCGTAACACTGGTGTATGCATTTCCTTATTGCATCGCGGCAAGTGAATGGCATTTAATAAAGTTCGCTGCGGTAAAATAATCGATGAAACAGAGGGGAAGTTGTTTGATGAAAATTTCTTGCCCATAGTTATCGAGTGACAGTGACTAATTACACAGTCGCACCGGCACACACGGCGTACCACGTATGTGGGTCACGCGGAAGATTAAAAGGAGGAGGAGGCATCAACTTGCTCCGTGTACCGCGACCGAGAAAGCTGATGAAACGAAGAGTAGACTTTCTTCCTCTTTTTCTTTTTTTTTTTTTTTTTTTTTTGCAACTTTTCATTTATTCACGGAGTAGGTATGTATACATATACACTGCTTCTCGCGAGCGTCTCGCGACTCCCTTTTACACAGCATTTCCGAGCTTTTACGATAAAAGCTCGGATCACCGAAGGGCTTGGGGAAAAACAACAATCCATCAAACAGTCGGAACGTCATGCAACGTAATACGCGCATCGATGAACAAATTTTATTTTATTCGGAAACTCACGATTTCAATAATTTCGTATTGACATTTCGTCCGTCCGCGTGGCTCTAGTGGTTACAAGAGAGAGAGAGAGAGAGAGAGAGAGAGAGTTGTAGGTATACTGTAGGCTTGCGACTCTAATCTCGATTCCCATCTTACGCGGAAAAAGTAATAAAAATGGCCCAGTGTATACTTTGCAATGCATATAATAATAAAACAAATGAACGGCACGAGGGTAGTTTAGTTTTTCAACTGCACATAAATGTTACCAAAGCATGAACCAACGCTGAGATCGTCGATACTCTCGTCGCGTAACGATCGGCAAAGCATCTCGAGAGAAGCCATTGTTATCCGCCTTTTTTTTAACGATCCTTTCTTGCAAAGGTGTCGCGTTGCGAAAAAAAAAAAAAAAAAAAAACAAAAAAAAACAAAAAAAAAGGGATCGGTGTCCATGTATACACCTGAAATCTCCTCCAACAAAAGCGGATGTCTCCACGGTATACACGTATAATCCGAGGGAAGAACGGCAACCGACATGGCGTGACGGGGGAGGGAATTAATTATTCGTGCCCGAATTCCCGACTTGGCTGCCATAAATATTCACTCGAGCGGCGCGATTTCAATTTATTCGCGACAGGCCTATACGCGCGGATGATGTACACACGGGGGGGGGGGCGGGGGGTTAAAACTACTTTACCTTGAGCGAGGGAGTCCTGTTGAAGGCGGGACACCGGAGCAGCCTGTTCGAGTGAACCCTGAGTACCCTGAGGTGCGCCAGGCTCGCCACGTTGTCCGGGAGATACTGGAGCTTGTTGCCCGACAGCACGAGCTCCTCGAGCTCCTTCCAAGAGGCCACGCAGCTGGGACAAGAGAGAGAGAGAGAGAAAAATATATAGAATCGGTATTATGAATAAAACATGGGCTTAGGGCTGACCTCGACTTCGTTAAATATTTCAAGGGACCCTCTTACAAATGCAAAATACACAGGGGGGGGAGAATTAGTCCGACAAATAAGGAATCTGCTTCCTCTCTCCCTCAACTGCACTACTAACTTGTGCTCGTCGCGACAGTTGTCACGGAACTCCCGAGTGTCCCTGTCTCCTGTTCGTAATGCGATGCACATTCATGGTCCTTAATTCATCTCGCTCACTCTTTTGCAAGTCTGTGCAACGCTACGGGCATCCTCTTTGCTTTTTAATCAAGCCCAGATACACCCGAGACATATTATCAGTCGTACACGCACATAATATATGGGGGTACGCTAACGATTCATTTCGTCAACGGAGCATATAACGTTGTACACGTTAGAGAAATGTCACGGCTTGAAATGTAATATTATTACGTCAGCGCCCTGAGCTATATACTTTACAGTATATACGTGTAGGCTTGCGAAAGGATAAAGGACAGCTTCCCCCCCCCCCCCAAACGAGTGCATTGTTGCCGTTAATGCGACGCTCTTGTGTCTCTTCTTCTCTCATCTCTTTGACTGTTGCAGTGCCTATAATATAGCATAAGCTGAAGCCTGAAATGCGCGGAACAATACATGCGCACAGCATACACCTAATTCCTTTTGCTCCAGAGCTTGGCTATCATGTTGCATTGTCGGGCAATGCTTGTACTATTTGTGTTATTTATTGTGTTACTCATTCAGGGACAATTATAGCTCTGCTCAGTTTGTTGGGTGATTTAAATTTTAAAACACGATAATTGTACGTGTATGAGTAAATAAACTAAATATACAATAAAGTTTCGGTCAAGGTGTGAAAAAAGTGTGTGTGTGTTTTTTAACGAGGGACAAATTTGGGATATTTTTTGTGAATTGACTCATGTATTCAATGCGAAATTCTCGAAATTAAATCATCTGTGACGTTAAGCCCCATCCATCGGTATATTTTCAACACCACCAAAGTTCAAACTAAAGCTCGCTTCGAATGGCTTTTCAAGCGGATCATTCAATTACATTCACCCCGAGTTGCAAGTGAACGAGCCGAGCTGTAATTTTCACCGAATACGCAAATCTTTTTTCGAGAGTCACAATACCGGGTGTATATGCCACATCAGGGCACATGAAGAAAAAAAAAAAAAAAAAAAAAGAGAAAACGACTACTTACCCCCGCGGAATAAAAAATGTTTACTCGATCTGGGCAACGTGCCACGCGATTTTCCTTTGATTCCATCATATTTATGAACGCATATACAAGACACAGGCAGGCAAAATCAATTTTCACCAAACTACTGTATAATATACGTATTAAAGTTTGCGAAGCCGAGTCATCCCAAAATCATCCCTTAGCGGACGAGCCAATCTTATATAGTACAGCTGTTGTTTTCATGAGCCCACTCCGCAAACCCACGGTGGAGAGCTAACGTGCACACACACACACACCCTGATACATATACATAAAATTTCAGTTCCCCCTCCTTCTAGTTACTACTTATAATGCATAATTGTTGTATGTATACAGATTCCGCAGCAGATGGAAAGCGGAGAAGACCGCGTGAATGCTTACATCTCGGGCAGCGTGTCCAGGGCGTTGTAGGCGAGATGGAGTACCCTGAGCGCGCTGAACTTTGCCAGAACGTCGAGGGCGGTGTTCGTTAGGGAGTTGCTTGTGAGGTAGATTTTCTCCAACGAGCTGGCGGCTTCGTTGCGGGCCTTCTGTCCGCCGTTAACGTTATTACCGTCCACGGCAACGCCGGGCAGCTCCGACAATCGATTGTTCGACAGATTCAGCACTTTCATCCTACAACAACAGTGTTTGAATTTTCTTATGCACCACGAAGCCAAGTAAATGTAGTAGGAAGGATATATTTTGCACTTTATACAGGCAAATCGATGGGGGTAAAAAAAGAGGGATGTTTCCGAGGGAATTTTTACGAAGCGCTGTTTTGGCGTTGTTCTCCTTGCTCGTGTGATGAATATTTGTTTTTCAAAGCAAGAGAGAGAGAGAGTTTCTCCCGGGGCGAAAATAAGCGGCCGTCCGGATCTACATTTTATTGACAGCAGGGGGGGGGCAATTTTCTTTTTCGACAAAACTCCACCCACCGCGCTTCGCTCGGGGGGAGGGTGGGGGGGGAGGAAAAAAAAATAAAAATAGAAAGATGCACGAGCAGCGCGTGTACGTTTTCAATTTGATTTTCGCCCGTTGTTTCGCGCGCGAGCAAATAAAAATTAAATTCCCTCGAATGGTTATCCACGTGTGAGTGTATACTTACTTGAGGGTGTTGGCGAAAAAGTTGGCGGGTAGGGCGGTGAGGGCGTTGTCCTGTAGCGTGAGGTGGACGAGACTGAGCTGCCTGCGAGGCGGTGGCAGGGCCTGGAGCCGATTGTGCGGCAAGTGGAGGACCTCGAGGCGCGAGGCCGTGGGCTGGGACAAGAGTCGGTCGGGCAGCGCGGTCAGCTTGTTGTGCGAGGCGAACAACGCTCGTAGCACCGGCAACTCGGGCGTCCACTCGGGCAGGCTGTCCAGCTCATTGCTACGGGCACACGCACATTTTGTATTCTCTTTCTCTGGTTTGTTTTTTCTTCCCTCCACTGTTTCGAGGTGTAAATCCACCGACACGGTTTGCCGAGCGCGGTCCAAGAAGATGGGATCCGAGAGTAAGTGTGCATGTATATATACATATACCACCCACAGCGCGAGGTGCTTGAACTCCAGAGCAAATACGGAATCGCAATGCACTTTTTGCTACCACGGTTGTTTCGTTCAAAAGAGTCAATTAATTCAATCCTCCCGATGACTTAGACATTGAGACGAGAAGCTCATTTTCCATCCACTGCGCCGTATTTATACAGTCCACGTACAGAGATGAATAAATTTTCTTTGTCACGGACAAGTCGAGGAAATTGTAATATCTTTATTCGCGGGGGGGGGGGGGGATTTATATCACTTTGAAATAAATGAAGTTTCAACTCGTCGTTTTATATTGAAGGGATTCTCATAAAAGTCCCTTTGAGCGCTCGAAATTGAAAAGAGTCCTTTGAGAGGCCGAGTTTGTTTTTTCAAATCGAATATTAAATTGAAGAAACGTCGGGGAGGGTAATTTATATTAATAACGCACCTCGAGAATATGTTTCTCTTGGAAACAGAGACATATTGTGTTCAGTGGACTTACCCGAATTCGAATTTAAATTATGATAATTGCGAAGCTCTCGTGACTTTCATCCAATTAGTGAAAAAGTATACATTTTGTACTTACTAAGAGACGTCCAGGTGCTCGAGGTTGACCGGCACGGGAGAAACGCTCAATACTTTCAGCTCTGTTTATTGGGAAAAGTAATGTAAAAGAAAAAAAGAAAAAACATGGATGAACGATCTTATGAAGCGAAAGTGGTGTATCTTACTGTTGTTCCCGGCAATGAGAGATACGAGGCTCCGACCGCAGAGGGTCAGCTCGGTGAGTTGGTTGCGCGCACACCTGACGCTCCTCAGCTCCTGCAGTGCGCTCAAGTCGAGCGTCTCGATGTTGTTCTCACTGAGATCCAAGTGCGTGACGTTCTGCGATCGAGAGTTGTTATTGTACATCAATGATGTGGGAGAAAAGAAAAAAGGGAACAAATAATTGCTTGTACGGAACTTCGCGAGGATGCGATCGAGGAGAGTTTTTCGCTCCGAAGGACTTTTTCGCGCTGCCGTTGCTGCTGAGATATTCTTTCTTCGGGAAATTTACGAGCTCGCAGCATTATACTCGGCTGTAGATGTGTAAAAGAGAGAGTGCCTCTGCGCGTGGATTTATAGAGGCGTGAAGCAACGGAGGGATCTTTTTTTTTTCTTTTTTCTCAAATCATGCAAATTTTCGTTTGAAAGATTTATCGGCACAAATTATTGTATCTTTCCGGAACCCGTGAGTTTCCGAGAGCTCGCGTCGATAGCCATCAGCCCGATGCGATGGTGAGGCAGCGAGTAATGTATATATATATATATATACATCTGCAGGATAAACGAAATTGTTTCCATCCAAAATACGGTCTAGCTGTGTATATAGGGGTAAATTACACTTTCAAATGGCCGTGTATTATCTTTGCATGGAGATTCACTTTTTTTTTCTTTTCGTTTTCTCCGAAAAATAGGTACAGGGAAGTGCCTGATTAATGGCCCGGTAAAAGCGAGACAACAAACCCGATGTTTCGTGCATCCGTGTAAAAAATCATCTGTAAAAGTGGCGTCAGCAGGTTGGGCCTGACAAAAGTGCTGGAAGCAGCGAGAGAGAAGACAGAGATACACACACACACACACATACCCCGTAGTTGCCGAGAATGATGTTTCCTTTGAGCTGGTTATTTCGCAAATTGACTTTGCTGAGGACGTTGTTGTGCACACTGCTTTTTTCCTCGGGTGTGGAAGCAGCAGCGGAAAAAGAGGAGGAGGACGTTGACGAGAACGACGAGGACGACGATGTGGCTAATTTGCTCGTACCGGGGGAGCTGACGTTGTCGGGCCTACTGTTACCGCCACTGCCGAGCACGTCCTGCAAGGATGGGCAAATTGATAAACGATAAAAGTGAGGTAGAAAAAAAAAAAAAAAAATAAGGATCAGAGGACGAGGGGGGGGTAACTGTGTATACTTACGGCGAGGGCGAGGGCTCGCATCTCGAGGAGAAAGCCGGGCAGGAGCTCGATCAGGTTGCCCACCAACGAGAGGTGCTCCAATCGGCGTAGCTCGACGATCTCGTCGGGCAGCTCTTTGACGTCATTTCGGTCGAGTATCAGCTCTCTCAGGCTGCAATGTCGCACGTGGACCAATAAGAGGACAAGTGAAAAAAAAAAAAAAAAAAAAAAAAGTTAATGAGAGAAACATTATTATTGGACCAACGAGTAAACTCGAGAAGGGGCAGATCTGTTTTCGACTCTCTTTTATTTTACTGCCAGCCAGTAGAGAGGATGATCCTTTTCTTTTTCACTTGCGCAAGGCTGCAAATTACTATTGACTTGGCCATTATGGCGCTCATTTAGGTGTATCTGCGCGACTCGTACGTGGCAAAAAGTTTCCCTTGGAAGACGAATTAGGTGATCGAGGGCATCACGTGAAAAAGGAAGAAAAGAAAAAAAGGAGGAATACGGAATTAAATTGTTCGGCGTCGCATTAATCAAACGTTTGCAGCCGATTTGAGGGGAAGAGGGAAAACGCTTTCGCCACTTTGGATTGAGATTGATGGCCGTGGCGAGGAGTTTTAGTCTGGGGGAGGTAGGTATATAATTATACAATATAATCAACGCAAAGAAAGTAAGGGAGCTAGTCGAGTTTGGCGGGGAAAGGCCGGTTAATCGGGGTAATTGATTCAAATGGCGGCTGATTGTTATTCAAGTTCTTAATTAACGCTTTTCCCTCGACCGCGCAAAACGAAGATGATGGATCTTTATGGGAGGGAGCGGTTAATTAAGCCAGCGACCGCGAGGTAAGTTTTCACGGGAATTTCGCAATGCAAAGTATATATACCAACGTGAAAACGAAGTAAGTAAGTACGGCTGCCCCCCCCCCCCCCACCCTTCCTTGAGGAAGTTACGGTGTACGTATAGTCGACCAAAGTTACAAAATTGACCAGCCCATAATAACCATATACATGGAGAGAAAGCGGGAGGAGCCTCTCCCCCGATTTTTCTATTTTCCTCAAACATATGTAATAACAACGCGACCGTAATAATAATTGACCATTATATTTAATTACGTAACTTGTTTTTTTTTTTTTTTTTTTTTTTTTTTCTCACAAAGTTCATACGTATATTAAACGAAGAAAAATCCTCGTAATTTCCCGGGCGGTGGAGGTAAGTTTTTATTACACGTTCCGGCAGTATAAGCTCGGTTAATTGCCGCTGTTATAACGAGGCAGTACGGATAGAAGAGTATAAAGGCACAAGGGGCGGGGGTCTTTTTAAAAGTAAGATTTTTTTTTTTTATTCATCGCGTTACGACACTCCAGAAGAAGCATCGGTCTTGTAAAATCTCAACATACATAAATATAATGTAACGCGCTGCACTAAGGGGAGAAAAAAAGCAAGTGTGATTACCGATTCGCCCTTGTCGAAGGATGGCTGATAAGAGTTAGACGCGACAAACGGACACAGGTGATGGCGAAGAAAGGGTGCACACGAATGCTCCACCACCTCGAACTTGTCCGCGGCACTTGTCTTCCTTCGCGGATCACTCACTTCTGCCTGGTAAGGACGAATCCTTGCACACACGCGCTCGCGCGCACACACACGTGTAGGGCACACCGAAGGGGAGAAGAAAAAAAAAAAAAAAAAATCGGGTAGATCTCCGCGCGATCGCGAACTTGAACGGAGAAGGACAGAGGCAGCGCGATAGGCGCGATGCGGAGCGCGTCTGACGGGCCCCGGGCGCTACTACTGCGCGGCAGACCTGCCAGCGGAGCGAAGGGGGAGGGGGGCGAAGGACCATAGTAGCCACTTGCGTATACTTATATACCCGTGGACGCGCCAAGCGAAAGAAAGAGCAGAGAGAGCGTGTACGAGGCACGAGGCCAGGAGAACGAACGAGTCTATGATATATACATATTATACAGACGGAAGTCGGAGTCGTAGGGGGGCAAGGGGGCATGGGCAAGGATGCATGCATCCCCGTGTACCTTGTACATACACACCTACCTGCTACAGGTAAATACTGCGCCAGGAGTTTTCTGAGACTCCCTGATTATTTGTAACAGAACGATGAAACGGAATTGCCCTGCGTTGCATTGTATACCTATATATACACGTGTATGTGTACCTGCACCGATAGGTATACGCCTCCGAGGAGGAAAACCGAACCTACATACACGCAGGGCTGCGGGAAGCGTGTCAAGTCGCGGCTACCCTCCTCCTCACGACTATACCTTCGTGCACCTGTGCGCCTTATATTATGTTTTACCTCTAGGTATATAATATAACAGGTGTACACGTCAAAGTTATACCTATATACTCATGGTGTATAGGTAATACCTATAGCTTCCAAAGTTGAAGGTATATTGCGATGGATATTGCTAGTACGTGACGCTCCTCTTGTGGGTACCTACCTATGAAATTTCACACCCAGGAGTCTTTGCTCTTATACTTCATGTGCTTGGGTTTATCTGTATGTACGTGCTTGCCAAGTGGATTTTTCAATGTTGTATCATATCCCTTATATACGGTGAAATCTAGACAATACAATGACGTTATACCATATTGTAGGTACATAATTATACGTATGTATATTTATATATGATACATAAAATGTACCCCCACACGCGTAAATTGCGCCCCTTGTTTTTATATTTTTTAGCTCGTCATTAGGAAACGAGTGAGGATGCGTATATTATATGCGTGCAAATGCGAAAATTCGCGATTTCACGCGCGACCGCGACTCTCGGTGTATCCGTTTATATTTTTTGTATTTTCACGCCCTCCCACCTCACGACGACCAGGCAGTTTAAATTTAAAGTGAAATCATTTATACCATGCCGTGCAGGATGTCCCAACTCACGTTTGTTGGAGCACGCGACAGTTTCTGGTGTACGCGCGCGCGTTTCTGTTTTTCGCGTATTTTTGTTTTTCGATCGAATTACCTCGCGAATCCTATACACCGCGTCGAAAGAGCAATTTCCATTATCGCTCTGCCCCGAGTGTCATCCTCTTTTTTTCCTTTTTTTTTTTTCCTTTCCCCATTATCGTTCTTCAATTAACACGAAAAGTTCATACGCGGTGAGTATACCACACGCGAGCTCGTTAAAATCGAAGGTTTTTCGCTTCCCCCTTCCCACTTTTATCGTTCACGTGCAGGTGGACAGATTTAATTACAAATCTCGTTAAGTTAAAACAAAACAAAACAACTCGATTCCCCCCCGATTTCGCTCCTTTTTTTTTTTTAATTTTCGCGCGTGCAGTAAGTGTTATTTGATTGCTATAACGACGCGGTCGACGGCTCTTTTCTCCCTCTCGCGGCCCGATTCATTAAACATATAAGTAAGCCGCACATGTTCGTACAACGCCGTATATGTACGGACACTCACAATCAATGCACGCAACTAGAGATATATATCTCGTACCGTATAAGATATATACCAACGAGAATTTCCTTTCGAGATAGAGAGTGTGTGTGTGTGTCTGGCTGTAACACTGCACCATACTACTAAGAGCGCGGGGATACTAAGGGCAGATATCCTCTCTCTTTTCACTTTATTCGTTTACAATGCCTCCACCTCCACTTTTACCTCCTGCTACGACCACCACCGCTACGCCAACAATTACAACGTTGTGTGGCAGCAGTATGGTGGTGTACAGTAGGCAGGCCTGAGGATATCGGACTCGGAGCGTAGTTCCTCTTTGCTCATCTCTATCTCCATCTTCGGTACACCTTGGAAAGCACACTCGCGCACACGCACGCTTAATTTTTTTCTTTTCTTTTTTTTCTTTTTTTTTTTTTTTTTTTGTTCAAACTTGCGTAATGCTCCTGTCCGTTCGTCTGCGTGTAAGTATACGCGCCCCTACCACGCCAATAACCTTCTCTTGCTTGACTTGGACACAACGATTCGCTCGGTAAAACGCGGCTCTTTGCGAACACTTTCCTGTCCGTGTGTACCACGTACACGCACGTATACATGGAAAGGATAAAAAAAAAAGATATACAGGTAATGTGTATATCTATACGCAAGAGAAAGAAGAAAAAGCGATTTTGGGACTATTTGTTGTTTTCCTTAATTAATTCTATTTCTTTTTATTCTTGCGAGCGTAGTATAGGACCAGTGCGATCTATACGTGAGATGGAAAGGATACGATAGGAGCAAAGGAGGGACGGAAGGAAGAGTCCTGTTACGTACACATATTATATATACACGCCCAGTACTTACTGTTTGATTTTCGGATGGTATACATATTTTTTTTACGCCAACGCGTTGTGTAGTTGATGTGTTTCTTAATGCGCGGCCGCGGACGCTTATTGTTTCTTTGTTCCGCAATGGAGTCGGGTAAATTTATCTATTTCGTCATTTACAAATTTTATCGAGTGTACAGGTGTATATTATACCTACTACCCGTGTCTTTTGTTTCATCGATAAACATACGCGCGTACGTGAAAGTATAATAAAACGCACGAGTCGCGAATTTTCATCGAGATATATATGCGTTTCGGATGCGCTCGAGCGAGCCGATATTGTGTCCGAACGACTGTGTTGTGTACAATCACGCTGGTGTATATTTATATGCATATTTGCAAATGCACAGTGAAATCGAAAGGATATGAAAACGCGTTACGCGGAAGTTGCATTATCATATACGAATACGTGCACGTATGATATCGCAATGAGGAAAAAAAAAAAAAAAGGAAAGAAAGATGATTACTGAGCGTTTAATTATTATAGCCGGTGGGCTGCAATAACTTTGCTACACCTTCTCACTTAATAATTGCAACGATGTATCTCTTCGTTTGTTGCTCGTATGCGTGGAGTTTCACTTGCTGATGTATACATATATACGTTAACGTGCAGGTAAAAGTTGGCACGAGGAGGCTGCGGGGAGGAGCTGTATATATTGATGAGCTCGTGTGTTTTAACGAATTTCGATGCGTTAAACTTTTTTAATTTATTATTGTAGTTTTCGTTGCGAGGTTTACTTGAGTGTCGGTGCTACGGGCCGGCGAAAAAGTTGGAATTATCATTAAAAATCTAACGGTGAATTGTACGGTGATGAAAAAAAAAAAAAAAAAAAGCTCTAATTTGGTTGCCGACGTTAATCTCGAGATACGTTATT